TTGCCTCAGTCTGGCAACATGGTCAAACAACCACGGACTGATAGGAAATGAACCTTTTGCATTTTTCCTTTATGCAGTGTAAGGGATTGAACATAGGTGCCCCTGTATGCTGAGTACAGCACTCTACCGCTAAGTTATACCTCCAGCTGTCCAGCCTCTTTCCCTCCATCTCTCCCTCTCTTCCTCTCTCCCTCCCCACCCCTTCTCTGTGTTAATGTATGTGTGAATCTTGGTGTATGTGTGTGTGTCACGTGATGTAATATGGAGGTCAGAACAACATGTAGGTGTTGATCTCTGCTTCTGTCAAGTGGGTTTTAAAGACTAAGGTCGCTAAGCTTGTTGACAAGGGAAAGGTCATCAGACCGACCGGCAGCCGGCACCTTTACCACCTGAGTCTGCCCACCTACCCTCTTTTGAGACAGACTGTCTCAGTATTTTGTTCCATTGCCAGAAGGATAACTAACCCATTTATGTAACAATATGATCTTGGAGTACTCAAGAGGAATTAACTATTGATTCTTGCAATTATTTAGATAGATCTCAGAGAATGTTGCTGAGGAAAAATGTTAATCCCAGGCTATATACTTTCTTACTTCTAGTTATATAATATTCTGGGGGTGAGGGGAGCAAAATTATAGAGTTGCAGATTGTCAGGTCCAAAAGAAACTCAGGATGAATGGCTATCTGTGGTACCTATTAGCATGCTAAAGCACTCGCTGGCCTCCAGCATCTCTGACTCTTCTCACCCCACCCTCTACCCTAAATTTCTCCATTCATAGGCTTCCCCTCCCCTAACTTCTCATTCCTATAGAACCCTGACATTTCATTATATAAATGAATCACATTTTCCGTATCCTTTCTTTGGTTAAGGGACATCTGGGTTGTTTCCAGTTTCTGGCTATCACAAACAAGGCCGCTATGAACATAGTTGAGCATGTGTCCCTGTGGCATAGTGGGGCAACTTTTGGGTATATGCCTAGGAGTGGTATAGCTGGGTCTTCAGGTAAAACTATTTCCAGTTTTCTGAGAAACCACCAGATTGATTTCCAAAGAGGTTATACAAGTTTGCACTCCCACCAGCAATGGAGGAGTATTCTCCCTTCTCCACATCCTCGCCAGCATCTGATGTCTCCTGAGTTTTTGATCTTATCCATTTTGACCAGTGTAAGATGAAATCTTAGCATCATTTTTATTTGCATTACCCTGATGACTAAGGACTTTGCACATTTCTTTAAGTGCTTCTTGGTCAGTCGGGCAGTGGTGGCGCATGCCTTTAATCCCAGCATTTGGGAGGCAGAGACAGGTCTACACAGTGAGTTCCAGGACAGCCAGGACTACACAGAGAAACCCTGTCTCAAAAAACCAAAAAAAAAAAAAAAAAAAAAAGTGCTTCTTGGCCATTTGAAATTCCTCTGTTGAGAACTCTCTGTTTAGCTCTGTACCCCATCTTTTAAATTGGGCTATTTGGTTTGTTGGAGTCTAACTTTTTGAGTTCTTTATATTTTGGATATTAGCCCTCTGTCAGATGCAGGGTTGGTGAGGACCTTTTCCGAATCTGTAGGTTGTTGTTTTGTCCTATTAACCATGTCCTTTGCCTTACAGAAGCATTTTAGTCTCATGTGGTTCCATTTATCAATTGTTGATCTTAGAACCTTGGCCACTGGTGTTCTATTCAGAAAACTGTCTCCTGTGTTCAAGGCTATTTCCCACTTTATTTAGATTTAGTGTATCTGCTTTTACGTTGAGGTCCTTGATCTGCTTGGACTTGAGCTTTGTGCAGGGTGATAAATATGGATCTATTTACACTCTTCTGCATGTAGACATCCCGTTAAACCAGCACCATTTGTTGTTGATGCTTTCTTTTTTCCATTGTATGATTTTGGCTTCTTTGTCAAAACTTAAGTGTCCATAGGTGTGCGGGTTTATTTCTGGGTCTTCAATTCAATTCCATTGATCAATCTGTCTGTTTCTATACCAATGCTATGCAGGGTTGTTGTTTTTTTTTTTTAAATACTATTGCTCTGTAGCAAAGCTGGAGATCAGGAATTGTGATTCCTCCAGAAGTTCTTTTATTATTCAGGATTGTTTTATCTATCCTAGGGTTTTTTGTTTTCCATATGAAGTTGGGAATTCCTAATGTGGTTCATTTACACAATGAAATACTATTCAGCTATTAAAAACAAGGACATCGCGAATTTTGCAGGCAAATGGATGAAACTAAAAAATATCATCCTGGGTGAGGTAACCTAGACCCAAAAGGACATGCATGCATATACTCATAAGTGGATATTGGTCATAAAATATAGGCTACCCATGATACACTCCACAGACCCAAAGAAGCTAAACATGAAGGAAGGTCCAAGTGTGGATGCTTAGATCTCACTTAGCAAAGGGAAAATAAAATGGTCATAGGAAGCAAAGGGAGGGAAGGAACTGGGTGGGAGCAGGGATGGGGAGGGGAATGGGGGGGCAGGATCAGGTATGAGGAGAGACAGGAGAGAGGGCCAGAGGGCTATGAGAATAAATGGAAATCTGCAGCTGCTGGGAGAGGGGAGCCTTGTAGGTGTGGAGGAAATTTCTAGGACATGCCAGAAACACACAGCCAGACAATTCATGGAGGTTGGAGACTCTTATAGAAGAATTGGGGGAAGAATTGAAGACCTCAAAGGGGTTAGGAACTCCACAGGAAGACCAACAGAGTCAACTAATCTGGACCCTTGGGGGCTCTCAGAGACTACGCTACCAACCAAAGAGCATACATGAACTGGACAAAGACCCCTTGGCACATATGTAAGCAGCTCAGTCTCCATGTGGGTCCTCCAACAACTGGAACAGGTGCTGTCCCTAAAGCTATTGCCTGTCTGTGGAATCCATCCCCTATGGAGCTGCCTTGTCTGGCCTCAGTGGGAGAGGATGCACCTAACCCTCTTGAGACTTGATGTGCCAGGGTAAAGGGGTGGGGGGGCATCCTCTCAGAGGAGAAGCGGAGGGGCTGGGGGAGGGACTCATGTGAGGGAGAGATTGGAATGAGGGGGACAGTGACTGGGATATAAAATTAATTAATTGATTAATTAATTAATTAATTAATTAATGAAAAAAAGAACCCTGGACTCCTCCAGATGCCTCTGGCTGTACTCTTCCTCAGATCTAGAATTAAAACATCCTGTTCAACCATACCTTGGAGTGGTCATATCCTCACTTTATACACAGATGAAATTAATGTTGCCAGGGATATCAGAGAAACAAAATCCTTCAAGAACCACGATGGTAACTTGTCATTGAATTGTGCACATCTTAATAGAGATCACAAAAAACATACAAGATATACAGCTACCCAGACTGAAATACAGACACATAAGCATGAGCTTGTCAATAAGAAAAACCCAAGTAAAGTTGGTGACTACCAATCCTCACCTCCCTGGGCCACTGAACTGGTTGTTCTCATGAGGAGATAATTTGGAGAAAGTGATGTATGATCAATCTCTAGGTATTAGTTCTGAAGCTGCATACCAATCTTAGTATCATCATGATAGGAACAAAACCCAAATAAGACAACAAAGTAAACTGTGTGCACAGCTTTGTTCTACGGATAAGGGGGCAATGCTTAATTGTGTGTTCTGAATCTGCTCTTTCAGGAACACAGTCTCATTTGTATTCTTAAACAGTCTGATTAGGCACATGGTTAAGCCTAAAAAGAATTTATCAGTGGGACAAGAGAAGATCACTTGATTGTCCAGAGGAGACAGACATCCATCTTTTTTACCCTGGATGCCCATGGCCTGTTCCTTGGGTGTATATCTTTAACAGACCAGAGAACAGGTTCTGATGGAATGGTGTGATGTCAACAGGACCTTCAGAATGTTTGAGCTCACTTAGCTACCATCACCGCCCTCCTCACAGTTGTGAGACTGAGCTCTGGGTAAGCTCCGAATATACCTAGATCTTGAGAGAGCAGAGCAGGTGCTCACACGGGTGAGTGTCACCCACTGCTGTGTTAGACTGAATGTCAGGTGCTGCGTTGTGTTCCTTCAGAGAGTCTTGGGGCATGTCAGGGATCCCCTGGGAGTCTTGGGATAGACAGCTGGTGATATAGTGGGAACGGAAGCAAGTTTAGGATTAACAGAACAGGAAGTAATGTGAGCAAAAAGGGCAAAGAGTAAGAACAAGGAGGTCAGTCAAGAGGAATCTTGCCCACCAATGATTGTCCTTGAGAAGGAGCCACAAGGAGGAAGGTGTGGGCCACATGAGTTGTATTTTTAAGAAGATTCGATTGCCTGTGAATTTATAATGGTTCTTAGCGATATATAAAGATGTGATAGCAAAGAAATTGGGTGTGTGAAAGCATCCAACAAGACTCTACTGGAAACATGACTGGCAATAGCCATTCTTCCCAATGGCAAATCCACAGTGGCTTAACCATGGCCAGGAGGCACAGCCTACGCAAGTCCACCTTCTCATGTGTAAGGCAGGTGAATTACAGTCCTTACTCATAGATTACAAGGAGTGAGTGAGGCCTTCTTTATGCACAGATTAAATTCTAGTTTCATAATGAATCAAAAATGGGGGCTGGAGAGATGGCTCAGAGGTTAAGAGCACTGGCTGCTCTTTCAGAGGTCCTGAGTTCAATTCCCAGCACTCATATGGTGGCTCACAACCATCTGTAGCAGGGATCCTATGCTCTCTTCTGGCACACAAACATACATGCAGATAGAGTACTCATACATAAAATAACTATTTTTAAAAAATTAAAAAAGAATCAGGAATGATGGCGTAGAGCCCCATGGTGAAGTACTCCCCTGGCATGTATAAAGTCCTACATTCAAGTTCCATCACCTCAAAAGAAAAAAAAAACTTTCAGCTACCATTAATTATTTAACCACTGTTGAAACTTTTTATTATTCTTTTGTTTAGAAAAAGAAGGTTAAACAGAGATAGCCTGGGGTAGGAATCAGATGGAGCCGCTTCCGTGGTTGGAAAACCCAGGACAACAGGATTCCATTATGTCTACACTGGTTACCTCAGACAACACACCAAGGCTTCAGAAGCCAACAAAAGGTCAAAAGAAAAAAGTCCCTGTGAAAGCAACAATAGGTGTGTGTGACCATTGGTACTTTCACCCCTGGTCCCCAGAGGAATGCAGGGTGCAACAGCATTAGCCCCTTCCTCTTCCCCAACTATTCTGAGTCAAGCTCTGCAGGGGCATGGCAAGGAGTGTCCTGCTGAGCCAGGAGGTCACTTCTTGTGCACTTTTTGTAGCTGGGACAGATGGAAGATCAGAGATGTCACCTGTTTCCCCAAAGATGTCTTGCAAACAGAATGATTCAGAGAAACAGGTGCCAGGGGATGGTATTTGCTTGGCAAAAAAAGGTACGTAGGAACTCAGTTCGAAGCCACCTTTGTAGATAAGTGGCTACCACCAGGGTGGCGGAAGCATTCCTATTGCTGTCTTCAGGTGTTACATGTGAATTCCTCAATGTGCTTGAGAAGGGAAGAGCCCAGCATTGGCCAAGTGGGTCCATCTCATGGTTGTGGGCTCTTCTGTTCCTGCAGATCCACAGGTCAGCAGCATTCTGGCTTCCAGTGATGCCTCTGCAGGCGATGTCCCTAAGCAGAGATCCAAGAGGAAGAAGGGCCAAAGAAAAAGGAAACTGGAGAATATCAAGACCGGTATGTGTCTGCCCCTTGACATTCTTGTCCAAGCATGAATGCAGCTTGAAACAGCACACACCTATGCCCAGTCTTTCCCTCTTCCCAAACTATCCTAAATCAAGTCATACAGGGCCAGGAAGGGGTGTCCTGATGATTAGGACATCAATTTTGTTCTTCACTTTTGTAGCTATGGTAGATGAAAGATCAACAAATTCATTTGTTTCTATGGGAGTGTCTTGAGGCAGAATGATCCAGGGAGAGAGGCACCAGAGAACAGCTGGACCTTGACAAAAAATATTTCATTGTAACTCAGTGTCTAGTCTCCTTTGTAGATAAGTGAAAGCCACTCCTCCCAGATGTCTCCAGATGTTACATGGAATTCTGAGAAGGGAAGAACCTAACCAAGTCCAGGTTGTCCCTCTTGTGGTCATGTGAGATCTCTTCCTGCAGATCCAGAAGGCTGTATAACTCTTGCCTCCAGCGATGCCTCTGCAGGGGATGTCCCTGTGCAGCGAATCAAAAGGAAGAGGGTCCACAAGACAAAGACACTTGTAGATGTCAACGCAGGTATATATCCGTTCTTGTCCCTGTAATGAAGAGCCAGTCACAGCCAAGTTACTATTGGTCATTTAGTCATCGTGAAGTAACAACTTCCTGAGCAATGGTCAGGAAGTTGCCAGTGTTCCCAGCATGGCCATATCCATGGTTACTGAGAAACTTTTGTTCCCACAGCTACCCAAGAGAGTAGTATGCAGGCCTCCAGCACAGCCACCCCTGAAGCTGCCCCTGGAGCCACCTCAGAGCTCAAGTTCCCCAGGAGGGAGAGGAAGAAGCGCGTATGGACTGTGGACCGTATGGAGGGAACAAAACTCATAATGAACAAGAAGAGAAGACCCAGCTACCGCCCTGAGGACCTTGAAGCCTTCTACCGACTTCTGGGTGGGTTCTCCGAACTGAGGATTGGATACTTAGGGCCAACTCTCAAAACTGAGAATTGAGTGTAGGGAGCAATGGTTCCAACCTACCCAGAGTCATCCCAGAGTGCTTCCCACAGTGCTCCCCAGGGTTATGTGGAGCATTTTCTTTCTGTGATGAATTCTTGGAGAAAAGAAAACAGGAAATGTTACTAATCTGGCTTTTGGGATGCTCTAGCATCCAAACATTTACAAAATAAAGTTGCTATCAGCTCTTGTTAGTGTCATAGAAGAGCTTCAGAAGGCCACAGCACAATGACAGGAGAGCTCTATGAAACCAGAAAGGCACAGAAAGTCTCTCCAAGGTGATATCAGGCCATGGATCTGGGATTAAGTATAGCAGGTTGGGAACAGCATCCAGGTATACTACCTGGTAGAGCATCTACCAGCCATAGTCAGCTATTTATGCATTTTTAAATGAATTAAAGCATACCCATGGGGCTCCTCAGCCTCCTCTACTGCATTCCAATGTTCAATACCTACATGTGTCTCTAAGGAGCCAGGGTGGATGGCAGAATGGAATGTTTTAACCACTTGAGAATGCTCCATCAGACAGTGCCCTTCTGAGGGTCAGGGAAATTACAGAAGACACACACTGTAAAAGTGCTATTTGCCTGGGCAACTGGTGAAGGACTCACAGGACACTACAAGCATAGATCTTCACCAGAAAAGGGTGACTTCAGGAAGGAGCTCTAAACAGAGATGAGATCCTATGGAGCAGGCAAAGTTGGTCACTGTCTCAGGGAGAGAGACCACCCAGGGAAGAAGGGAGGGAGGGAGGCTGTAAGTATGGAGCGATGAACCCTCCTCCTCTGCCCAAGGATTCAGTCATCATACAGGCAGGTGATGGCACAGTTCCAATATGGTGGTGAATGGACAGGCTGTCCATTCCTAGAGATCTGAGGCCACACCTGAGTTGTTGCAGTAAAATTTAACATTGAGAGCTATGTTAAATCCCTTCAGTGAGGAAAAGTATCAAATGTCATCACTGACCAAACAACAAAATTCAACATGCAAAAACAACATGGGTGTGTCAATGACAGGAGCAAACTATGCTTTTGATATGAAGGTTATAACCTTAAGAGAGATCCTGATTCCTCTAAGGAGCTAGCTCAGGGGAGAGGCCTGGAGGCCACAGATGGCTCCTGAAACATCCCCTGGAAGAGGGACCCCACAATCACACACTTGGCCCACCAGATGGAAATTCCAAGTCCCTCTCATTCTTGCTTCCTTTGCAGAAGATCCTGTGGTCCAGAACTTCTTGGCAGCAGACATCTTCTTCAGGGTGACCGACAAGGTACCTGTAGCCTCAGACACAGTCATAGCCCTTAAAGGATAGGAAGACAATATAGACAGTGGGAGCCCAGGATAACCCAAGTCTATTGCCTGCCGCTACTACACTCCCCCAATTCATCCTGGTTTTCCAGTCAGCTCATAACCACAAAGCAAGTGTATTCCAGCCCCTCATTCTGTGACTCACTGGATATGGCAATTGGATGCAGAAGGTTCAGGCCTATTTCTAAGTCCTCTTGTCTACCACTTGCCTCCCCTCACCAGCTCTCTCTCCCTACAGTACCTGCTGTCTATGGTGGTGGAGTATTTTGGTCGAGTTGGGCTGCCTGGGCATCTCTACAACAGGATCCATTTCTTCTTGGCCCTGTGAGCATCTCCTGGGGACCAGTTCTCAATCTATCCTTATCCCAACTCACACAGCTTCCATCACTCCATCAGGACTGAGTGGTGACCCTCAAACCAGAGTAATTGAAACGTTTGAGGGACCAGGTAGGGGAGGAAGGAGAGGGTCCTGAAAGTTGAGAAGTTGAAGGAAGTTGAGAAGGAAGAAGCTCCTGGGAAACAAAGTTTGCTTTTCCCGAGCTGAGAAGTAAATGGGCTCTGTCCAGGATGCCCTGGGGATGGCGTAGACCAAGGTCAACCTGCACAGATGGCCTCCCTACCCTCTCTCTCAACTACGTGCTCCTGCCAGCTCTGCCCGAGTCTGACTGTCACAGTTAGGGATATGCGCTCCCCCTCTCTACGTGCTCCGGCCAGCTCTGCCCGAGTCTGACTGTCACAGTTAGGGACATGAGCTCCTCCTCCCTGTGGCAGCTACATCGCCTGTGACATGGAAGAGGATGACCCCATATCCAAGGGGAGCATCTTCCAATTCCTGCTGGGCAGAGACACCTGGCAAGACTTATACAAGGACTTCCTGAAGCTGAAGAAGGATTTCTTCCAAGCGATGGATTACCGAGCCTGGGTCACACCAGAGCAGTGTGTGGAGGTCTGCCAGGGTTCAACCAGGGGAGTGGGTAGACGGGGTCCTGCCCAGGGAAGAGCAAGGATGGGCTCATCCTCCTGGACTCACCTCATTTCCCTCTCAGATCCAGAACCAGAACCCACACCACTGGGTCTGGAGCCGGGTGCGCCAGGGCACCCCTTAGGTTCCCAGGCCTGGGAGCCATCAGCAGGGTCGTGGAGCATGGGGCTGTACATGAGCCAGGTGAGCGGAGGTCCTAGCCAGGGGCTCCACATGCACGGACTAGCTCTGTCCTCTGGGTCCCTGAAGCAGTATTCTGGGCTGTGTAGACATGAGAGGAAACATATGAGCACTGCTGAGCTATAGGAAGTATACCTCAATTCTCCAGCTGGATTGTGTCACAGGACCACAAAACCCATGACACAAGGTTTTAATCCGCATGCTTTGTTGTTGCTGTTGTGTTGTGTTTTATTTTTAACTCACAGAAAAACATTTAAACTTACATTGTCTAGGCAACAACTCCAGTTTGAGCTCAGGTGACACTTTAAAATATACCTAGATGGAAAAAAACACCGGAGGAATCGACTCTGGTGAAGATACTTTGTTGTGTGGCTCTTGGGAGAGAAGAGAAATTCCAACCTCTGGTTTTGTATGTTTCACACCCACATAAAGAAAGGGTCTCTGAACTGGGCCCATGGAGAACATGATCAGATCATATGATCAGGTCACATGTCAAATGAAGTCCTCACATCGCTAGTCTCTGAAAACAGTGAGATTGCAGGGAACAAAAAGGAGCGAGCGGGCAGGGAATTCTATGAGGAAGACAACTGCTATAGAGCACAGGACAACCCTGTGTGACATCACACTCCAAGGCTCACCCTCTTTGTTGAAATTTCCCTTCCTATTTGGATTTACTCGAAGTAGAGAGAGAACTCTAGTGAAATGCTTAAGAGTCTCTTTGTCCTGGCATACAGTTGTGCTAAAACAACCCCCCAGGTATCCTACCATGCTGCAAGGTGGGACTAAAACTCATCTGACCCAGTGGGTGGAGAGAGTAGGGGAAAGGCGAAATCAGGAACCCCAAGTCATAAGAGAAACCCAGTTTAGCGGAAGTTTTGCCTCATCCCCTGGACTTTCCTAGAATAATAAAATTCACAACATACACATAACCAAAGGAATCTCAAGATTCAGCATCAGTAGTCATGGCTACTCTGGTTTCATCCCTTGGAACAGTGAGAAGTAACCCTAAGCTTCCATAGCGTTCCTCCATAAACATTGTGTGTGATGTGTGGGAATTTACCTTTTCTATGCTAACAACATACTCTCTCTCCTTATAGCTCCTGCCCACCCCTGCCATCCCCCCCCCACAACAAGAAGCTAGAGCTTATCCCTATGATGCAGGCACCTGAAGAACTCATCATCCAGCCCTGGCTCTCCTTATACCTTCAGGATGAAGGATCCAGGAGAGCATGTGCTTTAGCCATGTGAAGCAGGAAAGCAATGCAGCCAGTGAGCCTTGGCTTCAAGGACGGCAGCCTAGAAAGGCTCCTACCTTGAGAATTTGTCACTGGATCCCATAGCAGCTTGGGAGGGTCCACAAAACCCATTATCTCCATCTACTGAGGAGCTATGATGTCACACAAAGTTCAGGAGTCCTGGACCAGAGGTGGAAGAAGCCAGTGCAGGCTCTGGGGTGTAGCAGGGGACCAGGAGGAACTGCTGAAGTCAGAAGATGAGAATGGGCTCACCTACAATGTTTTTGGAAATTGTTGTCAATTTCCAAAATAGTCCACCAGGTCATCCAATAATGGCTTATCCCACTAGATGATGGGGAAATCTCCCCAGGGGGCTGATGGGAAGCACTGAGACACTGAACAGAAAGATGTGGAGACCTGAGGCAATAAAGTAGGATAGGAGAAAGGGATCACATGAAAGTGCAGGCTACAACCACTGGGGAACAACCCAACATGCGAATGAGAGTCAAGAAGCAAAAGTAGGTGAGGAAGAGATGAGGGGATGGATTCCCAACACCAGGAATAAAATGGTGGAAGCTGAAGAAGAGGACAGACTCACAGAGGACGAATAGGGACAATCCCGGGGTCACAGTGGTGCTTGCAGACTTGACAAGTGCAAGGTAGACAGGATTTAAAACAGAAAAGACAAAGAGATAAATTTGGGACACAGCTGACACCGTCCACATTATTTTGGTTATATTGTTCCGGTTACACTTTAACTCTTATTTTTGTTATAATTGCTTATAATTTGATTATACTTTTGGTTATAATTTTATTTTTACCATGATATTTTGGTTACATTTGTTTCATTATAAAATTTTGGTTTTGATTATATTTGGTGTTTTATATTTTGTTAATATTCTATTTAATCATCTTGCTTATAATGTTTCTATTTCTGTTATGGTTTTTCATCATATTATTTGAGTTACAATTTTGTTATATTATTATAGTATTTAATATATGTTATTTTGTTTATATTGTTTTTGTTATAATTATTTATATTATTTTGATTGTAGTGTTTTGGCTATGTTATTTTTGTTAGGTTATTTTCATTATAATATTTTGGTTATATTTAAATTACAGTATTACATTACATATTAAGTTACATTACATACTAAACTTATATTATTTTCATCTTAAAATTTTATTATAACATTTTAGTAATACTGTCTTAGTTATATTATTTTGGCTGTAATATTTGGTTGCAATATCATATGGCTTATATTATTTGTGTTACAACATTATTTGTATCAATAAAAATGAATTATTGCTAAAGAGGACTCTGAGTACTTCACAAAGCAAAATCCAGCTCTTTACTGTTTGAGAGATACCAAAGTGCTTCTGAGATGCTAACACCAAGGTTTGAGAATTACACCTCTGGATTGCAAAGGAAAGAAGACAAAGTTCAGACCACCACCAGAGACCTGAGGGACATAGAAATAAAAGATCCTTAGCGTCTAAGTTCCTGGGGATCAGGAGAGTATCTGGGCATTAAACCACATCCATTCACACAAATACATTAATCTAAAACTAGTGTTATTGAAAATAATGTCAGAGGTTATCACTGTGCCTGACTTCCATCTTCTAATTCAGACCCATGGCAATAAAAACCAGCCTGGCCCCACACAGAGCACACAGGATGATGAAATCAATGGCCCAGGTAAAGGCCACACAACTCCAGCCTCTGCATTTTTGACAGATGTGCCAAAAATACACATGGGAGAAAAGACAGACACATGAACAGGTAGAGCTGGGAAACCAGTCAGTACACAAAGAATGAGACCAGAGCCTTATATTTCACCCTGCACCAGAGTCAACTCCAAATCCGAAACCTAAGACCTGAAACTGTGAAACTGTCAGAGGTAAAAACAAGGAAAACGTTTCAGGACATAGGCGTAGCTGAGGAGTTCCCAAACGGTTCCAGAAGCCCAGGAAAGAAGGCCAACAATGAGTGTGAGCTCATGCTGCTACATAGCTCTATACAGTAAACCTGGCAGCTAAGTGGAGAGACAGCCTGCAGAGGCGGAGAAAATCTAGGCCCGGTACACATCTGACAGGATTAACCAGGATACATATAAAAAAGTCAACAAAACAAGGAAATAACCCAACTGAGGGGAGAGAGAAAGAGGAGAGAGAAAGAGGAGAGAGAGAGAGAGAGGAGAGAGACAGAGAGAGAGGCAGAGAGAGAGAGAGAG